AGAGTACTGGAAAGGCTTACCAAAGTTACAGCGAAATCAGTAGCTAAGAGACAATAATTTGTAAGGATGGTACACTATCCTTCAGGGTATAGTATAGGCGCTAAATCAGAGATCTCTAAATGGCACTGTGTCTCCAAGAGGAAGGATGCATGGATCTGAGAACCAATGGGATGAAAACAAGAGTGGCCTCATTTATAGCCACTCCCAATGACCCACTGGGAAGTGACCCACTGCCATGGCAGTGATCCATTAAATTATAAGCTATCCAGTAGTAGGGCATTTTAAACCTTTGCACCCAGGGGCCAGCAAGCATGGATAATTGACTAACTGTCTATTAGAGATAGGGTGCCTTTACACTGAGGAAACAAGGAGGAATAAATGTGGAACCCAGGTGATCTATTAAGACACCTGTTGGTGTTTCCTTGCCCAATGGTAACTGGGAATGGACACACGCAGAAGCCCCAGGCTAAGAAGGGTATGCCGAACAAAGTCTAAGACCCCTTAGGAATGTATGTTTAGGGGATATGACCAGGCCATAGCTGAGAGGGATATGGAGTAGACAGTGGAGGACGATAAGTAACAGAATAACTCCAAACAAACTGCAATGACAGGGACTGTAGTTTACCCTATTAATCTCCTCTTTCTAAGTTTACCTTTGGCAAGAGGGGTTCATAGGAATTACGGGGGACCATTACTATGAACAGGTTATAGTTTCCAGCTGAAGCACTTGGGGTCCACTCCTGAGTTGGTACCGGGCCCACCTTTTCCTGCAGTGCCCTCAATGACTGAGCACAGTGGAAGGACTGGAGCTGGGCTATTGCTGACCAATTCTGGATTCCTTTAATGGACAACTTCAGCTCAGGGCTCCCCATTGGTCTGGTTAAGACTCTCAGAATTACACTGCAACCTGGGGTCACCCTACTCATTCTTCCTTCCCCCTCTGCTTTCCTTGGTTCTAGTCTACATTCCAACCTGAGTCTCCCAGCCTTCTCCTCCTTCCTCTCCTTTTATCTTTAAGGCATTTTATTCTAATCAACCTCTTGCACATCTAACCCTGTCTTGGTGTTTGCTTCTCACATGATTGTAACTGACACAGAGTGATGTTTTTTAATTTCAGCAAAAGAAAATGACACCAACACTTACATAAGGTGATCAGAATGACTTAAGAACGATCCTCAGTGGGAAACATTAGAATATAACATAACCTTTAGTTTCTAATAGAGCCCTTTTGGGGGTCAAGAATTGCTCTGATATTCTTCAGTCAGCTATTTTTAAAACTCCTTCGAAAACATGTAGTCATCTAAGAATAACCCCGGTGGCTGGGTTAAGACCAGTCTGAGAGACATTGATTTCAGAACTGCAAATATGTCTAGTGAGCTGGAATGGACTGAATCTACCTCTGCAATTCAGCCCTGATGGTGCATTCAAGCACAGAACCTTTGTACAGTAGCTCTGAGAGGAAGGAAAGCACTAATATGAGGAAATATAAAAATTTTTAAGAAGACACAACACATGTAGTAGTGTTACATTAGGCAGCCAGAAAAATTCATTAAATAACAGAATCCAGGTAGAAAGCTTTTCAAACAAGGGAACAGATGGCAAGAGAAACTTTCATTCTTTGGGGACAGGGGTGGAGAAGAGGTGCTTAATAAAAAGGCACTTAATACAAAGGCACTGGATGAGTCCAGAGGAGAGCAACACCATCAAGCCAAAGACTGGGTGTCCTTGGAGAATGGTCTCAATATGTTTCCTAACATACAGTTTAACCCCTGGATATATACATTGTAACATATTTATTTGTTGAGAATATCTTAAAATAAAGCTTATAGAGCCTAGTTACCAGACAGAAGCAAAAACACCATAATCCTAAGGATGAAGTTTTAGGAAGAGAATCTTTAGTATTTCCTCTCCCTATCCCGTTTTGGCAAGTGGTATGGAAAGATATTCCCTGGTGGAAAATGTAGAGGAGGCTTTGGAGGTGATCTAAATCAATGCCATCAAAATCACTCACCATGTTAATTATCTCTAATTGACACAATCTCCTGAAAAATGATGGCAAACATAGCCAGAGTAACCTTCCCGGTGTTGAAATGCCTCATTTTTGGCTTTCTATGATCCTGGATAATCTGGCATCATCTTATCCATCCAATTTATTTTCCTCTCTCTTCAATATACTCTCACTACTCATCAGACTGGTCTCCCCCACTGCTGCTGAATAGATGACACTCATTTCTGTGTGGAGGAGGAAAAACTCTCCTGTACCCTTTTAGGATACCCAGCTGGGTGTAAGAATTAAACTGACATAAGACAAATTAACAGGCAAAAAGCATGCGTTTTACTAACATGTCTTACATGTACATGGGAGCCTTCGTAGAAGAATGAAGACCCCCTCTCCAAAAGAATGGCGGGACCTAAATGCTTTTATAGCAGATTGAACTAAGAGAAGCAATTGTGTTAAAGTAACTATGTGGAGAGGCTAAAGGAAGATAAGAACTATTTTAACAAGTTCTGTTTGTACAGATTTCTTTCCACCTCAATTCCCCGATTCCCTGCCTCTGGTGATAAGAATGTCTTCTTTTCTCCAGGGACAGGGAGGGTACCTTGTATGTTGGCATTTTATCTCCTGTTTTCAGGAATAAAAAGGAGGGTCAGAGTGTGCTTACATCTGCTGTTCCTCAAGTGACTTTAAGTTAAAATAATCATCAATATTCCAAAACGGCATATTTTGAGGTGACATGCTCTGAACTCCTTCGCCTGTCTGTTGCCTTTATTTGTAAGGTCCACCTGTTCCTCCTATTCATTTCTGCCAATCTTTCAAGTTCTGTCCTTATTCCAGCATTTACTGTGTGGATTCACCACGTGGGCTCTTGCTATATGCATTGCATAACTTGTTACTTTAAAAATATGCCCTCTTCTATTATAAATATTTGTTAAGTATATTTGTTTAATCTCCCCAACTTGACTTCAAACTCCTTAAATGCTTATTTATTTGGTAAATAGCTATAATTTCAGAATTTTAAAACTGCATCATTTTAGATGCTGAAACTAGTATGCACACTGGCGGTCACTGCTCTAGTCACCCAATACCGAGTGTACTGGAGTTAATGACAACATCATAATAAAAAGTGAATGCTTACTATGTACTAGGCTCAATTCTAAGTTCCTTACATATATTAACTTATTTAATTCACGAGACTGGCACCATCCTTTGTGGCTTCCTTTTTCTCAAGGCCAATCCAGCCAATTCTATTGGTTCTACCTTCAAAATAGAGCTGGAATCCTCCCACTTCTCTCACCAAATTCACCAGTACCATTTTGGTTCCAGGCCCCATCATTTCTCTTCTGGATTATTGCAATAGCTTCCTATGGTTGCATTCTCAAGACAGCACAGTGTAATCCTTTCAGTTTTAAGTCACATACCTCTGTTCAAACCTCTGCAATGGCCACCCACTTCACTCAAAGTAAAAGACAAAGTCCTTATGGCCTTTAAGACCCTATATGATGTTCTTCCTCCGTCCATCACTCGAACCTCATCTCCCACTATTCTTGGCCTTGCTCACTCTGTGCTCCAGCCACACTAACTGGCTGTGTTCTTCCACAAAAGCATAATGCACTATAGGGGTTCAGAACAAGTCACCCCCAGATGTGCCTCTGCCATATGCAGAATATTTTGAGCTAAAGACAATTGAGACCCTGTGGGCTCAAGAGAAATTTCTGCCCACCCCACTCCCCTTAACTACATAAAAATTTGAATTAGGGGCCTTGCCCATAATGAGATTATCAGAGATAGCCTTTTTTGTCCTATGTATATAGCAAGGCAAACTAATTACTGAATATCTGCTCTTATCATCCTACAACGACCCTCTGCAGCTCCAAGGTGCCTTACCTCATCCTTAGCTCAGAATTCCATACATACCTCATTTTCCTTTCTATCTCTGAACCTTTCATGTATGTGGGGTTTCCATATATAGGTATGTGATTATTTTCTCTTGTTAATGTCTCACATAGATTTTTAGACCCCCTTGGGAAAAACGGAGGAAAGTTTCCTCCTACCCCACAGCACCTCGGGCCTTAGCGCTGGTGTTTTTCTTTTGTATTGAGCACGTTCCCTGTTGTACACAGCTAACTCTCCTGGAAATTGGCTCAACTCTCACCTCCTAACTAAATCCTACCTTGATGGTCTATTTAATTCTGCAACTTCCACCTCCTTCTCAATTTCCTCTCAATCGCTTTTAATTTTTTCGTAGCGCCAGTTTTTAACATACTATATAATTTTTTTTAGCTGTATATTGCCTGCTCTCCCCACCCCCATATACTCCATGAGGGGAATGATCCTTGTTTTATTCATGAACGTATTCCCAGAGCCTAAAACAGTGTCTGGTACATGAAAGGCCCTGCATAAATACTTGGCGGCGGAATTTAGAAGCTAGATTTTCTTTTCTTTCGGCAAGGCCACTCACTGTTCCTTGGTGATGGGCCTTCACTGGCTTCTCAGTCTCCACGTTACCTAAGAGCCAAAAGGGCAGGTTGCCTGGGGAGGGTCTTAGGGCTGGCTCCAGATTTAGGTTTGACGGACAGAGAGATACAGGTACAAAACAAAAGGGTGCAGTTAGTTTCTTGGGGGTGGCTGAGGAAGTAAGCACAAACTTCCTCAACCGTTGCACGTCCAGAAGTGTTTCAACTCTCGGTTTAAGTGATTTCGAACCTCCTCGCACCTAAGCAAATGCAGTGTCGCCGTGCTTGGGCTCTGCGACGCGGACCTTGTCCTGCCCCTGGCAGCTTCACTGCCCTCACTTAGGTGGTTAGGCAGTGCCTAAACACCATTCTTTTCTGGGCGGGGATGTTCCTGCTACAGGGACAAAGCGCCAAAGGAGCGTCACCTCCGCGGCCAGGTGTCCCGCAGGCAGCCGCAGGGGCCGCCCCGCCGGCCCGCGTTCAGGCGGCGGAGCGAACACCCGGGAGAGGCCCCGCGGCGATGACGTCACGGCTCCCTCCCGCACGCGCGCACGCACGCACGCACGCGCACTGCGCCCAGCATGAGAGTCGCGGCTCTGATCAGGTAACGCCGCGCTGGTGCCACCTTCCTCCTCCCCTTCCAGCCTCCAGTCCCTTTAAGCTGATGGCCGGGAGGTGCTGGTGCTGCTGCCGCCGGCGGCGAAAAGAGGGTGTCTGTGCTGGACCCGCGTGTCGGGGCCTCGGCGGCTCCTCCTGGCCGGAGGAAGAGGCGGAGCCTCGGGGCTGTGGCCCAGCCCGGCTTGTCCCCGCCGTCTTGGGATCGCGTTCCTCCTCCCCGCTGGTTGCCGCCCCTCTGGTCTCCCGGCCTTCAGACTTGGATTCACATGGATTCACCTGGGGGACTTGAAACCATTGCTGCCTGGGCCTCGCCGCCAGAGCGCTGGTTTAATTAGTCTGACGCGACCCGGGGTCGGATGCTTCAAAGCTGGATGGGCAGTGACGTTGGAGAGCCCTGCTTAACTCTGTTCAGTTAGCCACCCCAGCCCTTTCCTTCTGGCCTCCTTCGCCCTCTTCCATAGTTCCCTTGAGTCTTGCCGTCATGTCCTCCGGGCCCTGCCTTGCACCCTCGGCCGTTTATAGCCCCCCTTCTTGCCAGTTAAGTCCACCTCTTCCTCACCTGCCTCCCACCTGGGGCTGGATTGCTTATGAGATGGATGTGCTTTTACCTTGGTGCCCAAGGACAGAGATGGAATTGCACCAGTTTTATCCTAGATCCAGCTGCTGTTGCTTCGGACGCTCATTCATTAGTTTTTGGGGGTGACCTTATGGTAAAACTCCACATTCCAAAAGGAGTTTGATATCTAGACAGTAACCCATCATATTTTAGGTGTCTAAAGTAAGTCCTGTGACAACCAAGGACAGGCCCTTAAGTCTCCATACTCAATCTAAACTGAAGCAAAAGGGAACACAATAAAGATTTAAAAAGGACTTTAGATACTTGAATATTTGTTTGATGAGATTTGGATCTCTATAGAGTGAGCTACATCCAGCCATGCATTTTATTTCAAGCTCATTGAAGATTTCATATTGTTGTTCAGTGCCCTAGGGAGTGGCTACTAACTGACAATAGTGACCTACCCAGGACTCTTGATATAACACTAATCTCTTCCAGAGTGACTGGAATTTTCCAGTTTCTTTTATTTCAGTGCCACTTTTAGGAGACTATAATGTCAAAAAGTATCATTGTTCAGTGAATTTATTCTATAAAGTGAATAATTAAGCTTTGACTATTGTGGTCTTCATTTGATCTAGATACATAAGTATAAAAAGTGGTCCAGGAAATGAGTAATTCACATACATATGCAGTTTGCCAAAAGTTTAACCGTTAAGGACACACCAACCGAAGACTCAGAAATCTTGGAGGCAAGGAGAGAAGATTAGTGCCGTCCATTACACTAAATATTCTGTGATGTGCCCATATTACTTTTATAATAAAACAAATTACTAAAAAAGGCAATGTTGGAAAATTCTTGCTAAACTAAGAACTGTATAAATGTTAGGAGGCATGCTATAAGTATGAATACATAGCAATACATATACATGAATGTGAATACATAGTACTTATATATGCATTTATGTACATAATACTTCAATATGTATGGAATTAAATACAGTGAATCTACTGTATTTGCAGTATATCGTATGTGTGTGTGTGTGTGTGTGTGTGTAGACTAAAATGAGAGATGGGATATGTGTGTGTTTTAGGGAATAAGTAAAACCAAGATTTTTACATATCTTTAGACCATGAAGAACATTTTCCTAATGCACAAAAGATTGAATCATTGAATTTTACAGTTGAATGACACCTTGAGGATTAGGTAGGCCATTCTCTAATTTTATAATGAAGCATTCAGACACAAGCACATTGAGTAATTTAGCTTAGTGTCCCAGAGTTGGAAGCGAAAATTCTGATCTTCTGTTAGATTTCTCACATAACATATTCTAATGCACTTTGTGACATTCCAGGAGGTAAGAAACGTGGCATTTCCCAAACTTATTTGACCTTGAAAATCGTTGTTCTTAGAGTGCTTTTTGCACAGTGATGTTCCACATCACTACTTAAAACCATATTTAAAAGCTTAACATTTTAAAACAAATTATAAGGCTAAGTTCTTAAAGGATTCATGCCCTTTAATCTTTATTATTATAAAGAATTAGAATTGTGCAGGTATATCCTTTAATCTTTAACACTGAAGAATTCGATCTTTTGGTCCTGCAGAAATAGAGCAGGGGGTTCAATAGGGGAAGCTGTGGAAGACGTATTTATGGGAATATCAGAATCTGAGGGAAGGGAGCAATGTATAACTTTGCCTCTTAAAATCTCTCCCCTTGAGAAGTGGAATGACAGTTGTTGCTGATCAGAATGTGGTAGAGGCAGACAAATGTTGGGAACCAAAAAGGCAAAAAGGCTGCTTCTAGGATAAACCCCCCCCCCCCAGTTTCTTGGACCATGAAGAGGTCTAGACATTGCCTGGGATACATTTGTGGATCTTAAGCAAAGACTGGAAAGAAGTGAAACAGGAGGGGGGAAAAAATGAAGAGAGGCAATAATAAAAGGAAGAAACATGTATAGTGAGAAACAGTAGAGTATGAAACCAAAATAACAGAGGTTGCTATTCAACCCTGTTACAGATGAAGTACCACTTGTCTTAACTAAAAGTGTTGCTTCTACCATCTTGTAGATTTGGTACGCGAATTTAGAAGTTCTTTTTCACCTGTTAATTAGGTTTGTGTTCAAGCCTTATCCTGCCATGGGTTGAAAGCTAAAGTACTGATAGTCCTGATGTTTAACTTTATCAGTGCAATTCAGCGTTTTGCTTTCTATCTCTACAGAATTTGAATCCACCAAGTATGTCATTCTTTGTTATTTGATTGGATCTCAAATCTTTTATTTGATTCATTAATTGATGATGGAGGCCAGTTGTTAGATTTCTTATGGTGGAACGGAATGGTGTTTTTTCTACTTTTTCATAAAGAATTTCATTTAAGGACTATAAGTGTTTAGCTAGCATGTAAACTTAAATCATATTTTTTATTTGTATATTAAGTAAAGCTACTATCACAAGCCAAAGAGTTATATTTTGTTCACAATGATCTTTGTTATAATGGCATATAATTTCATAAGCTCTCATGAGTGACAACCTTAGGCATTCAAATCTGTTTGCTCAGTTTGTCTATGCTATGGAAATTACATGTGGTCTTTTGCATTATCATTGTAAGGTTGTTTCTCAAATATTCTGAAAAGGTGAATAATATGTTCTATTTTGTTATCTAATGATACTTTGATGAGTAATGGTCAGTAACCTGATATTTATCTCTTATTTTTCAGTGGTGGGAAGGACAGCTGTTATAATATGATGCAGTGCATTGATGCTGGGCATCAGATCGTTGCTTTAGCGAATCTAAGACCAGCCGAAAACGAAGGTAAGTATATACCTTTATGGGAAGTACTCTAAATGACTGAAACTCCAACTTCATAATTGCATTCTATCGTGTACCATATGCAAAAGAGGAACTAATATGTCTTTAGCACCTCTCAGATGCTAAGCTCTATGCTAAGTGTTTTCAATTGCATATCCTTTAAGAGCTCCTCATAAAAACCCCGAGACAGTTTTATCACACAGGGATACTAAGGCTTGGAGTTTATACATTTGTCCAAGATGAAATAGCTAGAACAAACTTGCCGAGCTGAGACTTGAACCCCCTTACTTCAGGGTGCACAGCCATTCCACCACACCTTTCCAAGTGTTGCAGGCAACAAACAGGTAAGTAAGATACAGCTTCTAGGAGCTTGGGAAGTAAGACGTATATTGATAAATAATATATGAAAAAGATCCAGTTTAGCCATCTTAGATGTTAGCTAAATTTGTGAGACTTGAGAGCGGCGTGAGGTAACACATTTCCACTTTTTATTTGTCTATGGTAACAAGGACATCCATAATAATCCACAGATCTCATTTTAGCCACTGTTTTCAGATTTCTCCCCAATGAAATTTCCCATAACTTTTTTTCTCTCTGTGTCCATCCCTGTGTGTACATTTCCTCTTTTAATAAGGATACCAGTCATATTGGACTAAGGGTCTACCTTAATGATCTCATCTTAACTAATTACATTTGGCATGAACCTATAATCAAATAAGGTCACGTTTTGAGGTACTGGATGTTAGGACTTCAAATAAAAATTTGGGAGGGATACATTCAACCCTGAACAATATATATTTTTTTAATTGAGATATAATTGACATATACCATTGTATTAGTTTTAGGTGTACAATTAATGACTTGACATATGTGTATGAGCATATTGTGAAATGATCACAAGTTTAGTTGACATACATCACCACACATAGTTACAATCTTTTCCCCAATTAAAACTTTAAAAAAAAAGATAAATATACACCGATTTGCTTTTTACTATATCCATATAACTATAGATATTAACTGCTAAAATGTAATAGAGTGAGATTAAAACTTGTCTAAGTTTATTTGTTACTACTTCTCCATATGGCTCTTCTAGTAGGATCTTTTTATCATCCCCTTTACTCAGCTTCTTTCAAGACTCCATGCTTTTGCTCTACTGTTATTTTAGGATGAATTAAAAGAGTAGTGTATGTGAAAATGCTAATCATAGTTCCTGGCACAAAGTAGTCATCAAATGTAGTTGAATCTGAAACTAGCTCCAGATCCTCTCTCCCTCGCTTCCTTCCCTTGCTTCCTTCCTCCTTTCCTTCCTCCCTTCCTTCCTTCCTTCCCTCCCTTCCTTCCTTCCTT